CTAAAAGGTGAATTTCTTAATTTGTGTGAAAACATCCAAAAAATCACTTATTTTGGACCGGAGGGAGTACTAATATCAAAAAATCAAATGACCTAAAAGTTTATTGTGGGAGAAAACTCTCTAGAAAGTTACTATAACAAAAACTGTGTCTAGATCCCAAGTAAGTTACAGTCAGCTATATGAATCCTAATTTGTCCATCTTACGTACTAATATTACAAACAAAATAATTTTTTCCGGCATTGAAAATTCTCTATATTTTCAATTGGCATATACATACATCTCTAGAAGTTAAGACTAAACAACTCCTAGCAAAAATTGAACCTAATGTAAACGTACTAATATGATTAAAATTTTATCTCAACTAATTGGTATCTAAAGAAAAAATCATTGGTATATCCTACATAGATCATTTTCTCCCATTTTATCTTATTTTTCTTCGAATAGTAACTAGCTCAACAAAATCTCAAGATAGGTAGCTCAACAACAAACGAGCACAAGTCAACTAAGACTTGAACAATATTATGAGAGAAACAGTGAATCGACTTCAAACGCTTATATAGAAAATTATTAATTACACGAATTAACATTTATAATAGAACAAACTCAAGATTTTGAATAAAATAAAATATAGTACAATGATTAGATAAAAATGGAGTTAACTTACTTTTGAGTACTTAGGCAACCTAGTAACAAACTATCAAACTAATTTTGACAACATGAATGGGATGTATAACGATTATCCTTTTGTAGTATTCCTTATCTAAGGGACAAGTAACTTGACCCATGCCATTTTCTTAATGTAAAAGAAATATCTCAAAAGTTAGTAGTTTTGTGGTTGAATGAACATGTCACATTACACCAATAAGGGCTACCTCGTTACAGCTAGATAGTGGTTAGTTAAATTGAGTAAGAAAATTTTGGAATAATAGGAATTCGAATAAATAATCTTATACTTTTTTTAATGAAAAAGATTTAAAATTCGAACAAGCACTATAAAAATGAAAATTTTGCTCCTTAAAATATTTCAAAATTTGATAGCTAAATAAACCGTTGTTCGGAAAGTGAGGATAATCAATTGAAAGTAAGAAAGTATTACGTGGCAAGTTATGGATCACTTTATTATTCATGTAACTAATATTATAAAGCATTCATCGAAAATAAGGGACAACTTTTTTTTTTTTTGTTTCGCGATGTGAAATTTGCAAATCGGGAAAAAAGAAAGAAAAAAAAACGAAAGAAGAGGATATGATTGGGTAACGGAGGGATATAACCGATAAAATTGGATAGTGATAAAAAAAGATATATTAACATGATGTTTAATTTGCTCAAGGATGGCATGTTCAAATCGATAGATGGTCCATTATTATTATTTTGTTTTAAGAACAAAATTAATGTATAGTTTTGTGATGTCAACGATTTGGTAGATTGAAAGTTACTTAAGGCGACCAATTTCCTAATTCATAAATTAATTATGTGCATGAGGACTAACCCCTGAGATACAGTTCCCATTCAATGCAATTATTTCCGATTTGGATATCAGACAAATCTCTATTCTTTGAATATTTTGGTTAAAATCACATGAAAGGTTCTATATAATTACAGTAACAAAGTTTTAATAAAATAAAGTAACAAAGTCTAAAATTACTCAAATGGTAAGTATTCCCACCTCCAACTATGGGATTTAGTTCTCCACTTTGCTCCCTTGGGACATCGAACCTACAATTTCATCGTTAGAGGTAGAGAATGCTTACCACTTAAATAATTTTTTCTTGTCAAATGTAAACAAGAAATCTGTTTTTTTTATAATCTGCTTAAATATAGTATTATAGTTTATCACATGATTCACTTTCAAAATTGTCTTCCCTTCAAATTTGCACGAGATTTTGTTCTCACAAGAAAATCTAATTAAAAAAAAAGTGTATTCTGCGCCAGAGGTTTGGCATTGAATATGATTTGTAATCCTATATATGCTAAATGAAATTAGACGCACTCCATATGAAAGTTCTCACTTCCCACTCATTGATAGAAAAGAATCCACGTTCCAGCGAAGATTGCAATCAAATAAAAAATTGTTTAATAATTACTCCATTTGGCTAGAAAATAATAAACATTCGAGCACGGGGATTAAATTATTTATTATTTTTAAGAAATGCTAAATTGCATCTTTAAAAATTACAAAATAAGTTCTAAGTCGTAGTATTTCTACTAAAAGTACATGAAAAATCATAATATTCGATTCTGTAATGACTAAATATAAAATAAGGCAAGAATAGAAGGGGGAAAAAAGAATATAACATTATTGAGTGCAATGAATTCCGTCTCGGATATCAGATAAATCTGTATTGTTTGAATATTTTGGTTACCATCACATGAAAGATTGTATATATTTACAGTGACAAAGTTTTAGGAAAATAAATTAATAAAGTCTAAAGTAACTCAAGTGATAAGTATTCTCTCCTCAAACTCTGGGATATAGTTCTCTACTTTGCTCCCTGAGGAGTTCGAACCTACAATTTCATAATTACATGTAGAAGGTGCTTAATTACCACTTAATTTAAGTAATCTTTTTTTTTGTCAATTGGAGATATATTTAAATAATTAAGGGCGTACGACTGTACGAGCATGCAGATTTATGTGTGTCATAGGCTAACATGAAAGGGAGATTATTCCTAAAAGTTATTAAATATCCTTGATCACACAATATACTATATAGTTCTAGTCTTATGAACTATGACTTTTTTCTTATCAAAATCTGTATAAAACCAACTCTGTAGTCATCAAAATTTATTCCTGACATCAATAACGATTACCAATTAATTTTGACTAAGACAAAGAAAATGATTAATATCCTGATATCGTACTTACTTTTATTTTGGCTCTATAAAAGATAGCCATTAGCCAGGGAGGAATCAAAAGGTTTCGAAACATGCATCATTATCATTGATTGAAATATAGCGAAGAAGGCAAATCACCTCATAAATTAATTTAGAAAACATTAGTACTCCAAAATTAGATAATTAGAAATATTATTTAGATAGTTAAAATAAAATTGATTCCACGGAATATCGATTGTTACAGAGTTGAATGTCAGTACTTCAAAAAATGAAAACGTTCCATCATATTAAAGTGTTTACTGTTAAAAAATTTTGCTGATAAAAAGGAACAACCCAATCAAAAAGAGACACGTGTGGTGTGGATGTTTAAATGATAATTTTGTCCTCACAGATGATAGTACGGTTTATTCGTGAAGCTGTGTTGAAAAGATCAATAAAGGGACAAATAAATCCAAAAGTTACCTACTGTATCTATTTACTTTAGATCAAGTCAAAAATATCAAACAATCTAGTTACAAACCCTAAGATTATTCTCCACATATTGATGAAAACAAAGTAGCCAGATTTATAGTAAAAAGAAAATTAAGGGACTGTAGAGTTTCCTCCTATTTTCGTACTTCCTGGTTATTATACGCAGTTAACCTCTTTTTTTCTTTTTCTTTTACAAACGGCGCTTCCTAATTTATTACTATTACCATACATAACAGATAATTGAAACAAAATTTTCCCTGAAATTTAAATTGCTCTAGAACATTTAATCAACGTTTGCCATTTAAGATTTTTTTTTTTTTTTGTGAGATTGCTAATTCAGTTTATCTCCTATTATCTTAGTAACTTCTCCTATCCACACAAAAATAAAACGAGTTTTGAAAAAAGGAAAAGGAAAAAGTAATTCTCTTTTTATTTTACAGATAAGTTTTCCTCTCTGTCTCTCTCGCAGGGACTTTACTGAAGGTATCTAAAATTTATTGATTTTTCCTACGTAAAATTAATTCTATTTAAGTGTAGGAATATATTTACAATAAATACGTATTACCAGCTGATATAAATTGACACCATAGCACGAAAATTACAGATGTATAGTTTGGACAGAGAAACCTACTCTTTATAGGACTTTAAGGTAAAACATTTGCACTTTATCTTGTTAACCGCTAGGTTAATGCTGGCTTCAATCGTCACGTAAAAAGTAAATTCACTAAATAAGTTTTTTGTTCTTTTTTTTTTTTTTTAATTTCCCTTTACCTTTTTCAATTTGGGGCGGAGTTTGGTTTTCTTGTGACTCATAATCTTATGCAGGCCGCTTATGTTGCTTTAAATTAATACTAGTCAGTTAGAAAGTAGTCTGAAAGCAACCAAACGCAGTGGACCATCAGAAAACTTCAACAAGAAGTTATTTTGTGTAAATAAGTAAGTAAAAGTAGGAAGAATTTACCCAAATAGCCGTCAACCCGTTCACTAAAATTAAATTTAGTCGGTGGAGGTATGATATATATATATATATATATATATATATATATATATAATTTATGTATTATATATGTATAATTGTGTATAATAAATGTATAATCTAGCTATATGGCTAGAAAAAGTAAACAATGAATATGACCGACTATTTTTAAAAATCCCAATAAGTAATGGATTTAAGTTATATACATTGACAATATAATGAAAATATAATTGAATATGTTACAATATGTTAATTAGCGTTTATTTTTAGCTATCAATCAATAATGTTATAAAATAGAGTTACCTACAATTATCTTTTAATTGATCTGATTGTATAAATACTTTTTACATAATCCATAAAAATTCCTACGTTATAATAATGGTCTTGCAATTTAAGATTTCAACATCTCCAATCAACAACTAACCAATAATACTCCGAAAAGAGCTTTACTTCAATATTCGTCAAAAATTCAAAACCAAAAAGTGATTTGCTTATTTAATTATTTGCTTAAGGTACAAATTTTCTTTGCCTCCTGAGTAAAATTTCCAATTCCTTTTTCTTTTCACCTAATTGCCAACCTTTGTAAGGATACTTAAAGTGAGAAGTTGGTGACTAATTACTTTTTCTTTTCTCTCATGCCAAAAGAAGAAGAAGAAATATTCAACAAGGCAATCCTTTTTACACCACCTATATATGCAAACACCTGCAACAAATAAAAGAATAGTAACATCAAAAGAGAGCCTTTTCTTGGCTATTCTCACACTCTTTGTCTCTTTATTTTCATATTTTCATGTTCCCATTTTATTTGAAATCTAGCTATTTACTTCATTTTATTTGCTAAAACCTTTCTCTTTCCATGCCCCATCTTCCTCACCCCAAATAAAATAAACTCCTTTTTTTTCTCTCTCTCTCTAGCTCTCTCAATATAAATGGCTAGCTAGAATGTTTTTTCTTGGATTCATTCACATACTAGGTTCACTTTCAAGGGAAGAGAAAAACATGGGAGAAAGAACAATGGCTACCTCCATTTTGTCCTTGATTAAGGTTTTGGTTTGCCTTTCCTTAATATCCCATGTTCTTGGGGAGAAATCTGATCATCTTCGAGAAGCTGTAAGAAAACAACATGATCATCAAATGAGGAAAATGCAAGCTTTTAAAGCTTCATTTGTTCGTCGCGATTCGGTTTCTTCTCCTAATTCTGTTTCTCCATCTCCAACACCATATGCAGTAACTGTAAGTCCTTTTATTTTTGTTTGATCTATTTTTTTTGTTTGTTTATATGATCAGTGCAATGCTGATGAAAAGAAAATTTGTGTATGTATTATAGGTGACACCAAGTCCAAGAGTATATCACGTTACAACATATGGTGCAGACCCAACTGGGAAAATAGATAGCACACAAGCAATTCTACAAGCAATTTCAGATGCATTAGAAGGGCCAAGTGATGGTTTCTTAATGCAAGGAATTGCAAATCTTGGTGGTGCTCAAATCAATCTTGAAGGTGGGAATTACTTGATCAGCCAACCTTTGCAATTTTCCGTTGTTGGCCGTGGCAATCTCATGGTAATTATGCTTCCAAATTCTATACATTGTCGGTGTAATTTTTTTTTATATACCTATAAAATTAAAGCGAAATCATAATTTACAATTTAAAGTAAGAGAAAATTTTATTTTGTGTCTCATACAACTGATACTAGTTGTATGAGTCATTTTTTTTGTCTCATATTTTTGTGGATCCAAATTTTATGAACTCAGAATTGTAAGATTGGGGTCCACAAATTTGCGAGAGAAAAAAGACGGTGTACTTTTTTTTTTCCACAATGATAGTACACATAAGTAGAAATCTTCTTTTAATGGGATGTCCGTAAAATTTATGAACCTATGATAGAAAAAAGAATAGTAGTATGGTACGTATTTGTCAAAACGTGCCATGTGGCGTAATATCCTTTGTGGATCGTGTGAAATTAATTGACCTATTTGTCCAGTGCAGTAGGTTAGCTAGATATGAATTGATGGGAAATGACTGATCAGTCGTCCTTCAAACTAAGCTGCATATACTACATAGGAGTATTTGTTTTACTAGCTCTAGACTTGACCTTTTATTTAATCTAAAAATAAAGCTCAAAGTTCAACCCATATGACTAGTATGGCAAGCTATAAATGCCAGTAATTTGTGGGCGTTTCTCCATCTACAAATTCAGAAGTGGATCTAGAATTTTTACAATATGGGTACACCACTAATAAAAAATAAAAAAGAAAAGTATTAAGTAAGAATTGATCCCCTCTAGGTAAATAACTTAGCATTCAAACTAGTACATATTGAACCATTTTGGAGCATGAGTGCCAGCAGGTAATATTTTATCAATTCTAAAAAATATGTACATAAAATACCTAAATTGGCAGAAAGACCATGGGTTCACGTGTCCCATACACTGGGCTATAGATCCGCCCCTGTCTACAATCAAACCTCTTTATAGCAGTCGTGTTTGTTCCGATATTTTTTGGATGCTATAGTGAAGTGTTGTTATAAAGGATATATATTATAACATAACATAGATTCTGTTCTGGAAAATACTTTATTTTTATAGTGAATAACTGTTAAATAGAAGTCCGATTGTATTTTATTCATAGCTAAGTATTTAGCTTAGGAGTTTTCTTATTTGTAGCTTTAGCTTTATAACAAACCAACCTCTAATCTCGGCCGTCAAAGTAGAAGACTTATAATTTAGTGGTATTGATAAGAGTTTTCGGCACAAGAGGAGAACTTTAATTTCTGTGTCCCTTTTCCTTTCTCTTTTCTCAATTGTTTATGTAATGGAAATATTTTAAATACAATTCAGCCTTAAGTGTTCCTTTTCAAAGCCATCGAGATTTAAGTTTAGCTGCGCTAAATTTAAAGTACTATAAATTCCTCCACAGGTGTCGCTTCAAGCCCAATTTTCACGAACCTTCCAGCTGCCTATTTAACTTTATATTTTTGTATATTTCTAGTTTTGACCCCAGTAGTTTTAGTAGCACGATATTTAGCTGTATGTTTATTAAAATTGATGCTTTTAACTCATTAGTTTTTGTAAATTTCCAGAATGCAATCCTTTCACTTTATATTTTACATATTTGGATAGCTAAACTTGTTTTTATTTTATTTTTATGAAACAGATTCATGGAGGTACATTAAAAGCTTCAGATAATTTCCCAACAGATGGATATCTTATCGATTTATCGACTGCTTCAGGCAATGCTCCCGAATATTTCTTTGAATTCATAACCCTAAGAGACCTATTGCTGGATTCTAACTATAGAGGAGGAGGAATCCAAGTAATAAACTCACTAAGAACAAGTATTGACAATTGTTACATTACACATTTCACAACAAATGGTATTCTAGCCAAAGGTGGCCATGAAACCTATATTAGGAATTCATTTCTTGGACAACATATCACTGCTGGTGGTGATAAAGGAGAAAGAAATTTCTCAGGGACCGCGATAAATTTAATGGGAAATGACAATTCAGTCACAAATGTGGTGATTTTTTCAGCTGGAATTGGTATAATGGTATCAGGTCAAGCAAATTTGTTATCAGGTGTACATTGTTATAATAAGGCAACTGGATTTGGTGGCACTGGGATTTACTTAAAATTACCAGGTTTAACCCAAACAAGGATAGTGGATTCCTATATGGATTTTACTGGGATTGTGGCTGAGGATCCTGTTCAACTCCATATTTCTAATACCTTTTTTCTTGGAGATGCTTTTATTAAATTGAAGTCTATAAATGGTGTTGTGAATGGAGTTAACATTGTGGATAACATGTTTTCTGGATCAAATAAAGGGGTGGATATTGTTCAATTGGATCAATCTAATGGTCCATTTAAGACAATTGATCAAGTTGTGGTGGATAAAAATAATGTTAGAGGGATGAATCTTAAGGCTACAATTGGAAGTGGTGTTGTTCAAGGGAATGGTACTTCTTGGACTTTGGATTTTAATCCAATTCTTTTATTTCCTAACCTCATTAAAAATGTTCAATACACATTTTTCCCTAGTGGAAATTCTTTTGTTAATCATGCTTTGAGAAATGTATCAAATAATCAGGTTTTGGTTGAATCGGATGTGCAAGTTCCAGCAAGTGTTTTCGTGGTGGCTGATCAAGGGAAGTGATCATATTCAAGATAACATGTATAGGATCTTCAGGAATTACCCCTAGTTGAATCAAGAAATTAATAATCTAGGGATGTTATATTATTAGTTTGATCTAATCATGGATCAAAAAGAAGATTAGATCTCTTGATTCATTCTTTTCAAGAAATGTTATGTTTACTTGAATTTTTTTCGAAGGAAAATTCGAAAGCATAATTCAAAAATGCTACAATTTCAAAGCAAAGAATAGCTTTTGTAGCATCTCCTCCCCCNNCCCCCCCCCCCCCAGAACTCTAAAGTTCAATGCATGCATCACAGAATGTATTGTGATAGTATTTTCTTTGTTTTTATTACTATGTACGATTTATTTTATGCGTCTTAGTTCGTACGTCGTAGTTCGATTTGACATGAAACTTATGAATAGACAGAAATTTTTTTAACCTTATGATTTTAAACTAGTATGTATGAACCTTGTGATTCGTTTAATTCATAGACGAGCAAAATTACTACAAATGTGTTTTCTAATTGTTTATTGTTTTTCAAATTTAATAGGGAACAATGTATTTTTTAACCCTTATCGAAAGAGGCTTTCGTTGAAAAGATACATCAAGCTTTTAAATGAATGAATTGAAGCCTTTCCTCGACGTTAGAAAAACTTTCTAAACTTCTAATAATATGAGACCAACATGGCTTTCTTCGTCTTACAGTTTGTAATGATCTGTCCATTTCTCCAAGCTAAGGTCATTTTCTTTTATTTATCTAATATATATAACCAAAAGTTGGGCTACTCAAGCATATATGTGACAATAATCCGTTTCAAACTAACTCGACGAATATATTAATTTTCATCTAAGATAATAAAATTTGACATGCCTTTGCCGGTTTTACATCACATAATTTTGAATATTTGTCTTCAATTTTATCCAATCAACGCCAATAGCTTTGAGATGAGGAGTATTTAACCACTACAACTAGTTTTTAGGTGAATGTAGTTGGCCAGGACATCATATATCCATGTTATTATTGTAGTTGGTAAGGGTAATCAAATATTGAACAAATGGAAGAAAATTACTAAAGTACGACTCCGGAAAGAATGATTTCTAGAATTTCACTATTAAAATAAACTTGAGCTTTCAAAAATAAAAAATAAAAAATAAAAAAAGATCAAAAGTTCTGCATAACTTTCTTTTGTTTTTGTTTAATTTTATGGATATTTTCCTGTCCTATGAATTTATGATTGCTTGGAAATATGGATGTGTATCTTATTACTTTCTTTATTGTTCAACTAATTAAACGAATAAAGTTAATGTAGGTTGCTTAGGTAAGGGAGAAATAACAACCTTGCCAACACCGCATCAGAAGAAATGGAGAGAGAAAGTACACCATTTTACTATTCATTAGCTCAAAAAGAAATCTATAATTGGAAGTAACTGTTCAAGACACTACAGTAACCCGTAATGTGTACCTTTAATTAACTAAACTGTTAAAACTAAACTAATGAGCTAGCTTAGTACAAATCAGCAAGCGTTTGGTACTAACCTAAATATGGTCATGAATGCTTTTCAAAAAATTACGTGGTACAAGTAGGTCGAATAAACCCTCGTGAAATAAGTACTCATCTGCCTGAAGCCCTTGTTGTCTTTTACTAGTATGCTCCAAGTAAAATTTAAACTTACCCCTAGCATCTAGTTTACCCGTAAAACGGTACAGTTAAATTTATACGTGATTTCTAGACAAGTGAATTAATTTAATCTTATAGTAATGAAAGAATTAACGAAATGTGCAATACCTAGCCTTGAAATGCAGATGAAATCACAGAAAACAGTAATTTCGGGGGCAGAGCTTCCGGGCCCAACAATGATGAGACTAAAGACAAGAAAGTAAAATTGTATAAAGCTTTGAATAGATTATAGCATAAGTTTTCTAGAAAAGTCATCTCTCTACAATGGTAGTACAGCTCACTATTTTATAGTTATATCTAGGGAATAAGGACCTAGGATTAAGCCCCTATTCAATGCCAATTATGAGTGCCATTGAAGAGTGTGTAACGGCAGGCATGGATGCCTATCCTTTTGTAGCGGGCAGTATACTAATGCTGTGGAATATTCTGCATTAAATGCTACCGGGTGGAGGGTATTTATTGCCTCTTTATGAGTGTCATTCCTTCCGGTAACAAACGAGATAATTTCCTTTGGTTCTGACTATCCCTCACCTTAGGTTCCACGTGCCATTCTTTTAAGCGGCCAACTGGCGTAACATATTTTACCGTATACAGATAGTCCCCCTGATTTCCGGTGGCATAACTTTGTGCTGGGAAGTTGGTAGAAACACTCTTTTTGGCGGATACTACTATGATTCCTTCTAAAAGGCTTCTAACGGTTGATTAGACGCATGTCTCTCCACATTTAATGCCCCGAACACGCATCATTCTACGATTCAACATAGCTTTCGTCGGTTATCAAGGTAATCATGGTCACGAATTTAGCCGCCTACACCTTACTTATACGCATCAATCTTCTTTACTCAAACTCCATAACTCTCCAAACTCCCCAAAACCTTATTTATTGTTCTTCACCCTTTCTTTAACTTCCTTCAAACGAAAGAAGTTTTTCCTTCATCCGTAACATATAATGGATTCTTCTTTAAAGAACACCAGCTCTTCAAAGAGCAAGAGCAAATCCGAGGATGCTGCTCCACCAACAGTGGGTTCCATCATCCCTAAAAGTCTTGTTACAACAAAAGATTTCGAAGAGAAATTCCCTCCGGCTAACCCTCGCACGTGGGCCGTTGGCAAATACCCTCCTTCCATCCATCCTTCCAGTATTCTTGTTGTGAAGGAAGACTGCTGTTGTCATGATTTGGACATTGTTGCTCCAAATCTAACAGCGAGTAAACCTACCCAAGGAGGATTTTACATACTTTTACAAGTACCCCTTTACTTTGGGAGCATTTTCTTTGAGTGGAGAGCTTGACTCCATTATTGCGGAGTTCTACCACCGCTACCAAGTGTGTTTGGCACAAGTAAGTCCTTCTGTGTGGAGGACGATTGCTTGTCTTCGGCGCTTGTGCCAAGAGACGGTATAGGAGCTATCTTTAGCTCATGTGATGAATCTTTATTCCCCTAGAGTCTTCCGCGGGGCAATGATAAACTTTAGCAAACACGGCCACCATGCTCTATTATCAAGCAAGGATGATACAACGACCGTGGGTGGATGGAATGGTTCATTGCAGTTTCCACCGATGATATCATTTCGGCAACGGCTTAATCCTTTCCGAAATCATTGAACCGCACTCGTAATTTCCTTGTTTAATATTTCTGTCATTAGAATTTTTTTTCATATCTGTATTGATCATCCGTCCTTTGCCTGTTTCAACAACTTGATGGGTTACACCTAGGGTTGAAGGCTTGGACCAGTGGGTCCAGAAAATCTCGGACGTCACTATGACAGAAACCCGCACATGGAAAGAACTGGCCCTCAAATACAGGTGGAAGGACAAAAATCATGGTAAATTAGACTCATCTCATTTCTGCTTTTTATGTGAGGAAATTGATCGATTCTTTCTTTTCTCCCCTTTTTCTAAAATCAGGTCTACCCGCACGCTCGATTGTCGTCCCCGAGGAGAATGTTTTGGCTGATCCTGCTGATGCGGCGAGGCTGCTTCAAGAGATGCTTACTCGAATAGGTGTCTCAAGGCTTGCTTTGGGTACAAGTGTTGTGCCACTGAGTCCCCGGTCGGAGAACAAGCAACCAAAAAGAAAGCATTCTTCCATGGCCGGGGGGTGAGAATAAAAGGGACAAAATTCCGCCCCTGAGTCATCTCAGGAAGTCGTGGTGACAAGCCCTCCAGCTGGGTGATCACGTCCAAATGCACGCCTCTAACGAGGTATGACACGGTCGTTTGCAATAATAAAACCCAACAAGGAGTCGGGATCAAATCCACAAGGAACTGAGATAGGAGTTAGTAGTATATATTTGGAGTGAATACGTGAAGTATCTAGATTGCACTTCCACAAACAGGGTATTGTTTCTACTTCTAAACTTAACTAAAGATTGAAAATCTAAAAGTATAAAACTAGAGATGATTGTTTTTGAATATTTTTTTAAAGATATAAAAAGGCCTAGGGCTGTGACAATGACCTATGTATATGCCAAATGGGATAAAGACTTTTAAGCTGTTTTATTGATTGGGGTGTATTATAGCTCACAACGCTACGTTTCCCACTCAATACCTCTCGGTCAGAGAGTGGTTTGCCCAATTTAGCTTTCTCAAGTATAAATGGGTATCTACCAAAACGGTTGATAAGAGCTCAAGTCGGGTTGTTACTATCTCTAACCCTTTAATTTGGTTAATCAATCTCTCAATTGACCAAATTCCTTGTTAACTAAGTTAACCTATACTAGGTCTCTCTTTCTCAAGAAGAGACCAAGTCAAATAGGCATAAATCAATGTTTGCAACCATTAATTCCACAATTGAAGCATGAACCTAGCTAAATAACAAACACCCATTCATAAACAAGCATAAAATTAATCACTCATAAGGTTTACACACTAGGGTTGGGTCACAACCCTAGTAAAAATCTAGCTACTCATAGTGGGTATAGAAGAAAACAAAGAAGAAAATATAATAAATCTCATATTGAAGGATTAAACTAGAGACATCCAATGTTAAATCACCAAAATAAGCTAGAGATGCCTAAAGAAGCAAAGAGAAATGGCTACAGCACTTTTAAATATTCAAAACTTGACCTAAAAATGTGGACTTCTTCTATTTATACAATGGCTAAATTTTCGGACAAAAATACCCTTTCGGAGGTTCTGCGGCCGCACAATTCCATATGCGCTCCGCACTTTGCTTCAACTTAATAGGACTTGGATCTTGCGGCCGCATCTCTTTTTCCGCGGTCCGCACATTTCTAAGTGCGGCCGCACAAGGCTCTTGTGCAATTCGCACTTACTTTGATCTTGAAATGAAAACTCTCTGAACCTCTGCTCTTGCTTAGCTTCTGCGGCCGCACTTCTCACAGTCCTCTGATATGAATGCCTTCACAATCTGCGGGCGCAGATGGAAATCTATGCACTTTGAGCTTCTGTGCCTGTTTTTGTCTTTGAGTTCATATCACTCCTTCTTGAGTTGGATTTCATCTTAGTGGCTCATTTTCCAATACTCCTGCAATTAAGCATATTTC